CGTAAACCACAAAAAGTTTAATGATTTTTGGGACACTTCAGGGAATCCACAAGGCATTCAAGGGCGTAAACTTGAATTTTTTATACCCACAACATACTTAACAAATATAAAAAAAGAATTTTAGATACCCGACCTTTTGCAAGGTAGACTCCTTTTTTTGTGTTGATTTGACTGGGCTAACTGCCCTATTTCGTTAATTGAAGGAATAGGAAAAAAAGTGACGCTAAAATGTTTATTAAATAAAGAAATACAAATACATAAACAAGCATACATACAATAGGTTCTTTCTCAGATCCTTTTTATTACGATGAATTTTATTTATTTATTATCAATTCATATATTGGGTTGGCAAATAAGTCCTTTCGGTTTTTCAGGATAAAATAAAACTCAATGTATTATAGACTATAATTATTATTATCCACTAACTACATAGTGCCATGTTCATATATTGTCTTGCGTTTATTGTTAAAAAACTGATCCAACTTGTTTTTGATATAGTCTTCCTTTTGAAATTTCTTTCCATTCATAGAGTTCTGCAGAGAACGGAATAAGTGGTACTCACTTGGAGTATATGGATATTGGATGTATGGTGAATAGGGAAGGTGGCGCAAAAGGTTCCATCCAAGGCTCAATAATTTATTTTGGGGGACCAAGGAGATGTGGGGCCTAGCGTTGTCTTGGTGTTACACAACACCCTTCCGATCATTCATAACTCTTCAGGATATTCTCCAAATTCGATGTTACTATATTCATTAGAAAGCTGAATCATTTCGCTTCAAAGCCGTATGAATGGTTATATGATGTAATGCCAACATAAGGAATAAGTGAACAAAAACTCCTTATAGGTTTTTATTTTTTATTTTCATTTGTAGTTTGTTTAAGAAGGTCCTGTTGATGCTATTTTGTGTAGTTTATGTGGCCCTAAATCCCTGTTAAATTTCTTGTAGATAGCTAAAGTCGTATTAAAGTTATAACATTTTTGTGATTTTCGAAAAAAAAAAATCATGTGAGGTACCCAAACATTAAGCCTGAAAACATAGCCGAGCTTGTGCAAAGGGTTTTCGATGGTGAAATTTCGATCAACAATAGCCTTAACATTGCTCATTTCAATTTCATGTCGGCGACCAGGCCGTTGAGCATCATTGATGTCAAAATTCGAAATTTGGCAAAACAATTTTGACCGGTGCGTTCGGTTAAGGCATCATCCCCACGAACACAGTACATATTTCTATGAGCTTCTGCAATACGCTTACTTTGTTTAAAAACAATACAACAAAATATGCTAATGAATTATATTTTGTTCCATATTAAAGGTGCAATAGCAAACACAATACTAAGCTAGTTTCAATAAGAATTAACAGATACAGTTGTTGACATATTACAAACAGGATAAACAATCCACCGTAGGGATTAATTCATCAAATAATAAATGCATCATAGGTACATAAGCATAAACAGAAAAGCCGAAAGGACTTATTTGCCAACGGAATATAATTGTTCTATTACATAGATATATTAAATTGAAAGTTGTTTCAGAATAGATTAGGTATTTATAACTGTAGTTGCTTAATATCTTTACTTAATTATTTTCTGTACCGTTATTTATCATTGATGAGGTCATTATTTGAAGGTTAATGTCCTTTGAACTTTTTATGGAATATGCTATTCTCTATTTAGCCTCCCAATAATAGACTGTTTATACAAAATGTGCTATCTTTAGTCTCCATTTACGCAATCCTCTCTCCTTTTTTTTTTTCTTTTTTATAATTTATTTTATTTTTTTAATAATAATATTCTCAATTCTTGTATTAACCTAGACGGTATGGTCATATCGTCCGCACCGCATTAAAGTAACAAATCTGGAACGTTAAACTGGCTCACATATGTTACTGCGACATGGTGCATACTCTCATTTCATATTCATTCCAACCAAAGAAGTATTCATTAACAAAAATATTTTTACAAAAAGTATTATTTTGTAATTTTTAAAGTGAAAACATCTTTAGGCTCGTTTTGCACTTTTTTGTGGATAGTGAACTAGAATGAGCCGTCAGATCTCCGATGTGTAACGCTCTGGTAAATTCGACTAATTGGAGTGTTTTTGCGTATTGATTAAAATATCTCAAAAACTAAAAATCGGACTGGCATACTGTAAGCAGAGAAATTGTTCATAATTTCATCCTCAATGTAAGGAGCTATTATTCAAAATTTTATCTAAACGCGACGCCGTATTAGAGAGGCGAACAGGAAAAAATAGTGTCGAAACCCAAATAAAAAAGAGTTTTATAGAAGATAGGGGGTTAAAATATCTAAGAAACTAAAAATCGGACATGCATATAGTAAGCGAGAGAAATTTCCAGAATCTCATCCTCTTTATAATGAGTTATTATTTATAATTTATATTTCATATTATTAATCTCGCTTTGTTGATGTTTTCACTTCTATCCTGTGGTCTAGAACACACACCTTAGTTTTTTTGTAATTATATTTTTATTTCTGATAATTCCACTTTATAGACTTTATTTGTTAGTTGGATGGTTTTCTTTCCATTGTTGATGTTTCGCAGATGTTATGAATAAGATGCATCACTTTTTTTTTTTTTTGCTTAAAACAGATATATATATAACAGTGTAATATTTATAAAATACTTTAAAATCGTAAAAAATAAAGAATAAATAAATATAAGATGTTTTAATTTAATATTGTTTTTTTAATATCGTTGTGCATATAAATAAATCTAAAAAAGTATTATGACATATTTGATATCTTGAAGGTTTATTGCTTAAAGGGTACTTGTAAATGAAAAACAAGTGTTTTTGATGTAGTTTTATCATGTAATTAGTATTGTAGACATGTGCCATACATCATGCATATTTATATGTGTGTATGTGTCAGTAAGTGTTGTGCTTCCTTGTATAGAGTATAATACACAAAAAAAGTAAAAAAAAAAAAAGAAAAAGAAAACCTTCAAATTAGTCTGAACTTGACCTATTCTGTCAAATACTTCTTCTCGACACATGTTTTTATCTTAGTATTTTTTATTTCCTATAGTGGGGGTTGGGAGGTTAAATATTTATGAGGTCTTCCGGCAATCAACCAATGATATTTTTCTGTATATTATAAAATAAACTGAAGTATTAATTCTTAAAATGCCAAAAATAATATAAATATTACAAATTAAAGACAATTAGACTTTTAACGTTTTCTGACTTCTTTGGAGGATAAAAGTAACTTAATTCTTAAGGCAATCTAACGTAAATAACAATTTCCCTCGAAGCCATTAACATACTTTTCAATATTGATAAAATATTAGAAAACAAAATTTGTATTTCTAATAAATTTTATTCCTCTATTTGACATTTGACCTTTTAATCAGTATTAAGAACTCATAATTATAATTATTTAAATGCTATTTAATTAAATGAGAAAAATTAGGCGATAATTTAAATAAAAAAGTGCATAATTATCATTTATAAAATAGAGACAAAAAAAAGTTATATAAAAAAAAAACGTGTTTTTATCGTGTTGAAATAGATTGCTCAAAGCAAAAGGACTCGAGATGTTTGACAGGTTTTGGGGAGTTTATTACTTTGATATTTTTCAGATTAAGTTCAAACATGGATTCGCAGATTTGCTTCCCATTTATCAAAAAATATATTATAAGCATTTATATATATATTTATACGATCAAATGACGGTATAATTCGCAATAAAATTGACCTAGAATTAAGAAATAATATATGTTACATGAACAAGATACAGTATCATATGTAATCATTACATTTAAAGATTAAGTCCGTGATTTTGTATAAATTTACATTAGATTAATTCAGATAAAAACATTTTGTTTATAAAAAATGGAAACTAAAATATACCAATAATTTTAATGATAATGATAAATTAAAATGCTAAGAGCAATTTAATTAATGTTCAAAAAAAGTTAAATGAAAAAAAAATGCAATATAAAAATAAATTTTTATTTTTATTCAAAAATAAGAAATAGAAAATAAATTTTAAAATGATAAATAATAAAATGTTAAAATAAAAAAGAATATAAGTTTAATTTTGGTATTTGAAATCGAAACTATCTGGTTTTAAATCAGAAATAAAAACAAATTGAAAGAAAACAATTTTTTTTTAAATGTTCAAATACATTAGTTTATTATCAACTGGTTAATGGAAATGTTTTTCATCACATCTTCCAATCCGGATAGCTATTTGGGCCGAAAAAAAATAAAAATTATAACACAGAAATAAATTAACACCATGACAATAAAATTTTAATATTAATTTATATTTTTAATTGATAAAAAATAAATATCATAATTTAGTCAGAAAACGTCTATAATTGCCAAAATTATTTTAAATTAAATTAAGGTGAATATTTCAAGCTGGAGTTTATTAGTCGTTCTTTTGTGTATCAAGTGTATCTATTTATTTATTTATTTTTAATATGTGTATCATTTTATGAATATATATTTTTTTTTAATGTTGGTATGGAAAAGGAGTAGTATGTATATGTGTATTTAAAAAAAAAAAAAAAGATGTTTGAAGTTTTTTTCTTAAACTGTCAAATAAAATAAAATGTTAATTTTTTTACCTATATAGAACACTATTATAATTACCACATTTCAACTTTCTAACTAAACAATTAAAAGAAAATTAATTATGAAAAAAAAATATATTTTTCCTCTTCCTTCTATTATTTAATGATTATTCTATTTTTTTAAAAATATTTTTAATAACTTTTTTTAACATTAACGTTGAAAAATAAAGTATCAAAAGTAAAACAATTGTTTTGAAACGAATTCCATCATTAATTATTTATTCTATGTGTTATTATTTTTGTTTTTATTGTCTGCCTTCAAGACAAAATTTTATTTTTATGTCGTTGTTACTTTTTTTGAACCGTATTGTTGAATATGTTCAGTTGAACGATTTAATGTGATTGTCACTTTTTATTAATTATATTTGTCTATTTTATTAATTTAAGATCTTACCTGCAGTAAAACTGAGATCTTGGAAGTCTATATCGACGCCGACCGGCATTTGATTATCTCCTGAGCACTGGTACGTGGTGTGTTGAGCTGTTGTCGGCTAGGGCACAACTGAGTTCCCGGCGTGGGGTAGCAAGGTATCCAGGAGTGGGGGGATATGTTCCCCTGCACTTAACATATTCATGTTATTATATTATTATTGTAGCATGTCTGCAACAATACTAATAATAATAACTGAGGACAAAATATTTTACATAAGTTCGATCAAAATTTAATTTATTAATTTTTTCCTTTGCTTTGCCCAGATTTTTAGGTTATTATATACCAATCGATTACTTTTTACATTCACTTACCTATATTATTTTTATTTTTATTTTATTTTCCTTCCTACCCTACCTTTAAGACAATACGAGAGTTTGCAGCAATGACTTGAAACACATTGCATAACAAATCACTATTGCAAGTTTATCTTTTTACATTTTTAAATTGCTGTGCACACAGCCTGTTTCATAATTTTGTATCTTATTTTATCGTCCATTTTATTCTCCTGTCCTAATCAGTGGCCTTCCAGGTACTGTTTCTTCACGCCTGCCCCTGGAGGAGTGGGCAGGGCCCATAGGTTTTTTCCACCCGCATACAAAACTTTTAAAGTGCAGGTAGTTTTGTTCAGACATCAGTTGGGGTAATTGTATTTCTGTTAGATCGTAAAGCCCTGTATCCCTCATCACTTACCTATATATGTAATATATAGTAAGGGTAAGTATTGCGATCGTGAAAATTTTTGAATCTCAGTTTTCTACGAAAATACACGTTTTGAGGTCCCCTGAGTCCAAATAACCAAGTCCCGCAAAAGGGTGTGTGTGTGTTTGTGTTAACAATCTAGTTCAAAAATGAAAAGTCGTACGGAAGTGAAATTGCATATTAAATGTTTTTATATTCTGGGGATGTTACAGCAACTTTTTCGTCAAAATTGGCTAAACGGAAATGACACTTTATATAATGGACTAAACACATTTTTGCGATTATCTCGAAAACCGCTCTAACGATTTTAATTAAATTCATAATATCTGTATAAAATTGAGCAGTTTTAAATAAAATGTTTTTATTATTTTGTTTGATGTTCTCTAACAGGGCTTAAATGGATAATTTTCAATACTAGTTTCCTCTAAAGTACCTTCAATTTTTTTTATTTGAAACAATTGACCATTTCACATTAATTTCTAATATGAAATATGGTTAAATATAAAAGAGGAAAGAATATGATATTTAACTAACGGAGAATAATTGTAATTGAGGAACCAAAGGAATACGAGCGCACCCAAGATTAGAACAAGCTTCCGTACGCATCATGAGATTAACCTAATACGGACTCCGACAATATTATATAAATATACATATGTGGTTTTCATAAATGCTATAGTTGTATTATTTAATATTTAATTGTATAAATTACAGCGATATAAATATTATAATTTGTATGTAAAAGGGCACTTATACAAATAAAAATACCCACAATGAGATATAAATAAATATAGAGTCTATAATTGTTTTACTTTCACTTCGCTTTGTCTGAAAATACTTATTTCTGCTAAGAAGAAAGTAGTAAGAATATTACCTAGGTACGTTCCTCTATCAAATCATCAACAACCATCGTCCTTCTTACGCCTACAACCTTTTCCAATTTAAATCCTCAATCCATTCCCTTTCAACAAGATCTCGACCTTCTGACCTCTACATCCCTTCTCACCTCATTTCAAAACTCCGTTATAGCTCGCGCTGTCAATTTCTGGAATTCTCTACCTATCAAAATTCGGCATTCCCCATCCATATCCACATTCAAATCCGTCTTATTCCAATTCCTATCCCAAAAACTTTTGATAATATACATTTCTAGTCATCATCAAACGATAGTACTATTCTATACTGTGAACTTCACTAAGGGTATTACAATATCTTCCTGTTCTTAATGCTACTGACCGCATCTATTGTTTGTTTTTTTTTTTAATTATTTTTATTCGTATATAATTAAATCTGTACCTATAGCTAGAATTAGACAATGATGAGTTTACATATTATTCATTATTTAAATACACTGACATTTTATATTGTCAGCTTTGTCTTTTCTTTGTTAGCAGAAACACACCTCATTTTCAAGAAGAACTCAATGTGTTTTTTATTATTTTATTTTTCAAAAGAGTATAATTATAATTTCTCCTACTGTACATAGTTTTAAGTGTTTTGTATATAGATTTTTTTTTTTTTTGTATATAGCTTGTTTAACTATTTTCTTTACTTTCTCTTTTTTATTATTGTTTTATTTTGGCCAGATTTCATACGGCTTTGTCCCAGAATAAAGTTATTTTCTATTTCTATTTTTCTATTTCTAAGTGAAAGTTGTGTGATTCGCGCACCGCAACAGATTTTTTTTGTGCAGGATAAAGGAAAAAATATTGATTACAGTATTACATTATTTACAAATTATCTTAATCAACAAAAACTAAAAATGACCTCCAGTAAAGTAGGCCATGTTATGAAAAGTAAAGTTACATTCGTTTTAAGTGTATTTTGTTCTAATTTGTTTATGGATGTAACGTTTACACTATTTTGTAAATCATACAGAGCCCTAATCCTCTAGTAAATTTCGTGCGATTCGCTGGAGTATTTCTGAAGTTCTTTTAATTCTTTTGGTCGGTGACAATATTTGGAAGGGTGAAAATTTCATGCAAAAATTTGGAATTTTTCGATTGCTATAAAAACTTGTATTTTATAGTGTTTCGGTGTGCGGAAATCGAATATCAACTTTGTTTCTCCCTAAAAAAAAAGTTTACCTACACATTGTCACTTCAGTAGGTCATATTTTGAAATGAAATGAAAATACATTTTTTTATCCTGGGACTGTTGTCCCTCTAGGACAAATTGTAGATACAGAGGAAATGCCTGTGTGGCCATAAAATTAAATTGTGAACACTGTTTACTTAAGAGAATTTATGATATTAAAATCCATGATAAATGAGAAAATAAATTCAATCACGCTTGTCTCCTAATCAAATACTAAGACTAATTTATAGAAGGTTATAGAGAGGTCGATTCCAAATGGTTTTGATCAAAGTAACAGCTTGCAAGTTAATTGTGTTTTTTTATTATTTTTGTTCTTACACCATAATAACTCGTATCAATTAGACAGGGTTTTTATTAGTCCGTCATTTTCCATTTTCTACGCACTGTTCTATAAGACAGTTATGGTTAATTTCGTGACATTTTATAGTCATAGACAGAATTAAGGCACTCAAATAATTTTGCATCGATATCTTATTTTGCATATTTATAATATTTGACTGTTTTAATTTCAAAGAGTTGATAAAAATAAATAAATTTTACATAACAAACGACAGTAATAGAAATGATGGATGTAAGCCAACCCTGCATTATGAGGATGCGGGTTGCGTCTTTTTTCAAATGAGCATTAATTATATAATGCTGGAGATATCATTGAATGTAGATATAATCAGAGAGATAGTGAGCGGGGTTAAGGTTAAGAGAGAAAACACGCATTAAGTCTGAAACTTCTTTTAATGCGTGCGGTTGTTTCACCACATGTTGTATTTCTTCATTAGATCTAAGCAAAATAATAAAGGGGAAAATAAATATTATTTTAGTTGAAAATACTTAGAATGCTATAAAACAATCGAACATTATACGTAAAAAATATGAAAAATTGCAACAGAGTATTGAATTGAAAGGTAAACATTTAAGCGGTGGACAGCAACGTAGATGGGAAGAGAATATTGGTTGCAGTAGATTAGGGTGGAAGAAGTGTGCCTGGGAACTTCCAGGCTCACCTGTGGTTGTAAACAAATAATTGAGATATTTACCATAAAGGTATTCGTTGTCAAAACATTATATTTACTCTTGGAAGTATTGGTTAACAATAGCAGTAGTATTGTAAGCAAAATATCAACGTATATATTAGTTTCAGAATTGTATTTCCGGAAGTGTTTGTTAGCTTCTGATTTCACCATAAACTTAATGGAACTAGAAAAAATATAATTCCGGTTTCGAGAAAACAAAAGTATTTTCATGCAATAAAGTTGAGTTTATTTTGGTAATAGTAAGGCGTCACAGAATTGATCGCTCCGTTAATTCTTATGGGTAAACAAAGTTGTTATTTAGACACAATGCAAAACAACTTAATACTGACCATTTCAACAGCAATTACTTTAACTAGATTTATTTTTATTATTATTTTCGTGTGAATGTGATCTGTGAACACTATTATTAATGTCCCTGAGACAGATTGTAATATATTTCAATAAATAAGCTATTAGAAATTAGAAATTTTTATTATTTACTTGCCCATTTTACGTCTGAGGTAATTGTATTGATATTTCCTTATAGAACTGTTCAGTTTCTAATTTTAAGTCACGTTTGATACAGTTGGGAGCTCAGTGGGTGAGCACTGACTTCCGGACCTCATGGCCCCGGGTTCGAATAAGGCTGACGACTAGTAATTTTTCATCAGCCGTGGATCGACCTGGGGTCAAGAACCCCTCCTGAGGCACACCCAGCCTCTATAAAGTGGATTAATTTGGATGCAGGGGTGCCCATCCTCCCAAAGTAGATGGATCATGAATTTCCCCTTTCGTTTCCAAGACATTTTATTGCTTTCCTCTTCTTAAAAAATGCAAGAAAGGTAGAATTAGAAAAATCGTAGATCATCATGGGGGTACATTCCTCCCTGATGGTCCATGAACTTCCTCCCTCCTCAGAAGATATTTTATTGCTCTCCTCTTCTTAATAACTGTGCAAAAGTTCAAGTAAAAGTTTTTAAAATCATAGGTTGTATACAGTGATCTTTTCAGCTATCTGTTCTATGCTTTCCTCTTGTCCCCTGGTTTGAAAGTTTTCATTTAGAAAATTCACAACCCCCTCGAATTGTGCCTATAATGTTTGCAAATAAAAAAAAGGGGGTGTTTGAGAACCTGTAGTAAGCTATAGAAATCATGATAAAACATTATAGTCAAAGTCTTACTAAAATTTTAAACGGATTCCCATATCTTTTAAGTTAAATATTATCGATAAAATGTTTTGTTTGAACAGAGAAAAAAATTATTGTTGTAAATTGTCCAAATTCGCAATAAGAAAGCGAAAAGAGCAAATCCCAAAAAATTGGGGAGAAAAAGTATTCTTTTGCCAATTAAATGCATAGTATGTTTTTAATTCAAGTTTATTTATTTTTTTCCGAACTCTAAAAATTGTGTTTTTGTTACAACTATAGAAATTTTGTTCTAATTATTGATATTGTTGAGTAATTGTGTATACCTCTCTCCCTCAACAAATTGTGGTGAAATTCCTGCAGGTTCATTTTAAATTTTCTCAGGATAATAATATAGCTCTCATTTTATATAAATTATTAGAAAAAATTTACTTAATTAATCTTTATGAGAGTAATAATAATCATCAAATTGTAATAATCTTAATGATGTGGAGATGGTTGACCGTTAATATAATATGAGAAGGAGTTAGTCGAGGGTGCGGTCAAATAAATAAAAAAAATTAAAATATATAAATTATTTTAATTTTTGCCGACGTTTCGACCCACTTTGCAGGTCGTCTTCAGGGCTACAAAAGATACAAACATGTTGAAAAAATAAAAATAAACATAAGTATATATAAAATACGAAGAAGTTGTCTGATACAGAAATAAAATATAAAGAAAATAAATACATGATAAGAAAATAAATACATGATTTTTATGAAAATAACTAATGATTTATTCGTTAACATTCATGTATTTATTTTCTTTTATCTATTTTCTTATCATGTATTTATTTTCTTTATATTTTATTACTGTATCAGACAACTTCTTCGTATTTTATATATACTTATGTTTATTTTTATTTTTTCAACATGTTTGTATCTTTTGTAGCCCTGAAGACGACCTGCAAAGTGGGTCGAAACGTCGGCAAAATTTAAAATAATTTATATATTTTAATTTTTTTTATTTATTTGACCGCACCCTCGACTAACTCCTTCTCATGTAATAATCTTACTTTGAAAGGTTTAATTGTAATTCATTATCTACGTTAATATTCATATTAATTTAGTTAATTTTAGAAGTTACTAGTTAAAAATATTGTGTTGCAACTTAAAAGTCTTCAAAGTGTTTTTAGCTCTATATTTTTTTTATACGTTGAAAATTATTCTAGAATTTGTTTAAACGAAAATTTAGGAGGAAATACACTGAATAATAGAAGTTCTGACATTGATTGATTATTATTTTTAGTTTTGAAAGGTAATCGTAATTAACTAATGGGTGAAATACTAACTCGAAACGTTTAGGAAACCATCCATCAGAACTACTATTTTGTTGCTAAATCATAATTTTAAATACAAGCGTTATGAAACAAATTGTTCTTAGTTTCATTAATAACATATACGAGAGTAAATACTAAAAACAAAGGTTATCAGGATTTGGAATTACCAAAGCCAAGGATAATAAATGCTTGCATTTATTCACTACGTTACATTTTTACCTCTTTGTCTATATCGATATTTTGTTGGTGTCGATATAAATTTGCATGCGTGAAGAAGGTTACACCAACCCGTTGTTACAATTGTGTTGTGGTTTTTACGATGTGTTTTGTTCATTGAAGTGTTTGAAATTTTATTTTAATAGTTTTTAAAAGTTGATGGTCAAATATGAGTAAAACAGAACCCGTTTCTGATGCTTGGTCCCTTACAATACCCGAATTCAAACCAGAAGACAACCCTCATGGTCTATTGGAAGAGAGTTCTTTTTCCACACGTTTCCCTACATACAGAGAAGCATATTTAAAGAAATGTTGGCCTCTTGTAGAGAAGATTCTTGGAGCCCATTTCATCAAAGCAGAGTTAGACTTAGTGGAAGGCACTATGACTGTGTGCACCACTAGAAAAACTTGGGATCCTTTTATAATTGTAAAAGCAAGAGATATGATTAAATTATTATCTCGTAGTGTGCCTATTGAGCATGCACAGAAAGTTTTAGAAGATCAAAATGGTTCTGATATTATCAAAATTGGAACTATGGTTAGAAATAAAGAAAGGTTCTTGAAAAGGCGACAGAGACTTATAGGTCCAGCTGGCTGCACACTTAAATCTATCGAACTTTTAACTAACTGTTATGTCCAGGTACAAGGACAGACAGTTGCCGCAGTCGGGCCCTATCGGGGTTTAGCTCAGGTAACATGTTTTTTAGTATTGATAATAGGGGTATTCACACAATAAGAGCTAAGTATTGTTAACCTCTTAAATGTATAAAATCGAGAAAATTGTTTATGAATTTTGTGTTCATTATGGCTGCTAGCAATCTCGATTTTTTCTAATAAAGTATTTGTAACCAAATGTGTGTACATTATGGCTGCTAGAACTCTAGATTTTTTTCTAATAAAGTATTTGTAACCAAATAATCCAACAACTCAGTCTTTTCACTTAGCTTTGTCATTTTAAAAATAAGTCAAAACGTTAGTAGATCAATTAGGAACTCTGAAACTTTGTTTACAGTTTAGGCATAACCTTACTTCAACTGATAACAGTTTACCACATTAGCACTTAAAGCATTTACAACAAGTGTATTAATATCCCTAATGTATTTCACTTTTCATTGTAAATAATAACATGTACATCATGGGTTTTGTTTCAAAAAGTCATTAATTAATATTTCATAAAATCAAATCAGTAAGTACATTGATGAATTTTTTCTCTGTGAAATTAGAACATATTGCAATTTATGTTATTATTTATGATATTGAATAGGGTTTGTCATTTTTATGCACTTAGTGTGTTTTAAACCCTCTTATATTTTTTTTATTGTCACCATACCAGTCCAGTATATCTTTTGAAACAGAATTTCAGCAAACCTTTCATCTTAATTGCCATGCTATTCATTTTTTTATTCCTGTTGATTCTGGGGCAAAACTACCTACTAACAAGACCCATCTTCATCATTTTTAAATTATCATTTGGATCAAACGTTGTTCTTATGAAACTTCAGTAATACAGAATTTTAAAAAAAATATATCTGAACATTTTGTTAGATACATTTATCTGGTTGATTTATCAGTGAATGATTTGCTACAGAGTTCGTTAGCTATAATTTCATTGATAACACTTTTCCTTTCCTTAGATAGAAAATCCCAACCTTAATCAACCAATTTAAAATTCCTGCTTATGAATTAAATAATTTAAGCTCTTTTTTTTTTTTTTTTTTTTGCATTACTTTGTCGAAAGTTATGCTCCCAGAAGTCTGTAAGTATAGTTTTATAAAATGGAGTTTTGAGCTTTTCTGCTCAATCTTGGCTTCATTAGCATATTCACAAATACAAACCAAAAACTATTTATAATAATATAGAGATAGTTGACGGTGGTATAATATGAATTTATTTGACCGCACCCCCCGATCAATTCCTCAAACACTATTTAAATTATAAAATCAGAGTCTTGAGCATATAATAAAATTATATGAACAAATCTAGTTTATAAAATTAAAAGTATCTTTAATTTGTGTTATTCATAGTTTTATTTTTGTACTCTCAAAATAATTTTTATAAGATAAATATTAATGTAATTATTTATAAAATTTATTTTTAGGTTCGACGTGTTGTTGAAGATACAATGAAAAATGTACATCCCATATACAACATCAAAGCTTTAATGATAAAGCGGGAATTGGCTAAAGATCCTAAACTGAAAAATGAAAATTGGTCCAGATTTTTACCAAAATTTGAAACTAAGTCAGTGGGTGCTAAAAAGAAACCGAAGAAGAAGGTAAAGAAACCTTACACACCATTCCCTCCGCCACCACAGTTAAGGAAGGTTGATGTACTCCTAGCTACTGGAGAGTACTTTTTGACAGAGGAAGAAAAGAGAAGGAAGAAAAGATCAGAAAGATTTAGAAAGGTTAGTTTTGTTTATTTATATTATAGTTCTATTAGTATGGTACTTCGGACTCTACTTAAGCAAAAGGTTTGCTTGTAACATACATACTAAATTAAAAAGACAAGAACTGACTAGACGATATAACCAACTTTCACATCTTCTGGACTACAGATCCTCACTTAAGTTATGAAACAAGTGACTGATCTACAACACCATACTAAGACCAATATGAACATACTGAGCATAACTTTGGGGTTCAGCAAAACAAATGCAGAAACAGTAAAAAAAAACAACACAATAAAAAATTCTATGAAAAATTGTCAATGCACTTTGGTACATTTTAAATAACACTCTACATAAAGATTTAAACACTCAAACAGTAAAATCCTATGACCACAACAATACACTACATCTCATTCTCCAACTCAAAATCACTTCAATCCACTAATTCTTTCTATTTCCGGTTCTGTGTTACTTGATCGATGCAGATTAAAAAGCAAATGGCCAAGAAACCTATTCATACAATAATAACATAATGAAAATAAATCAAGCAAATAATCAATACATCAAATTTACTAGATGTGCTGCATTGCAGGTGCAAATGGCATAGAAAATTAAAATAAATAATATTTATTTTAATTTTATATTAATTATGAATACTTTCTAGTTAATTAGTTTATTTTTCTTTCTAAAGATTTTTGAACTCCTTATGTTGCTTAATTTCACATTGCCCTGGCAGAGACATTTCAAAAAACCATTGGTTCCAGTTTTAATTTTCATATCAATGTATGTACTACATACCCTGTAGAAGACATCAAATAAGCACTCCTAGCTTTATAAAAGAAAACAAGCACTCTTAACAAATATTAACTGATTCCGAGCTAAATAGAATTTCTTTTTCAAAAACTTTGTTATTAATGCAACAATTTTGGTTTGAATTTAATAAATGAAAACCATCTGAATTGTGTTTCATAAATCATACTACATGATCCATAACATAACATCATCCATAGATTAGTCAATATCACAATTTGGGTTTACCTTTAGGATTCTAAGGATTGATTTTTAAATCAAAAGTTCAAGCTGTCATCTCAGTTGTCCTCTTTTTTTTTTTCGTAAAAATATGTTCATCTCCATTTTGATTGTAATATAATAGAAATATACCAATATAAATATAATATAAACTATTTATATTATATAAATATAATATATAATATAAATACACCAATTACAATCAGGTTTTTACTTTGCTTATCCAATTATACATTTTAGTTTTTTTGGCACTGATATAACTAATTTAATAAGTGTCGATTTGGTTCACTTGGGTTGTTTAAATTTTGAATAGGTATTGTGTTTCCTAATTTATCTTTCTATATGTGCCCTAAATTTTTTAATTTAATTCATTATTTGGATTGGGGAAAGGTTTGTCAAAATTTTGAGCAATTGTACAGCAACCAAGACCTAGTAGATTATGCCTTATTTTAGGATCATTATCTTATAAAATTGATTAAATCTCCATTTTCAATGAATTTCCTTTTAGTTTCTCTTGAGAATATCAACATATTTGAAACTAACTATAATTCTTTCTATGGATTTGTTTCCCTATCGTCTATAAAGAAATTCAATCCCAAACTATAACTAACTATTTACATGTTAAACTGCCCTTCCTATATATATACTAAGTTCTGAGTTTTGTAAAATACATGAACCATAATAATCTTTTTTTGCTATGTCAATTAGTTTAATAAAATCTTTAAAAATAATATATAAAACTTAACTATGAGCAAGTAAAAGTAATTTAAAATCAACAGTCTGGTCACTGCAGTAAAACAAATAATAAATTTATAACTATATTGTTTAACAATGACAAATGATGTACCATAAACTTTTTATTAATGTAATTTTATTATTTAGGTATTCCATTAATTGTTCAGAAAATGATTAGTTGAGCTCATTGCAATTTAATTTACAGTACATAATTATTTAGAATAAATCAACTCATTATTCTGAAGAACAGGTCTGTTGACATTTTTCTCTTATCTTACTATACATATGATAGGCCTAAAAGAAAAAGTATCTTCTTTTTCTCTGGAATTACGTTTCTGTGAGTTATCAGTACTCTCGTGGATCCACAGCTTTACATTGAAATTGAGCCATTCCATCCGAAATCATAAAATTGTATGTATTGGTACAAGATCAAAACAATTATTTAGACAGGGTGTTTTGGTGCCAACCATACATAAGACTGCATAAATAGCAAAACTAGGCCTAAGACATTTTTCAAGATCACTTCATTTGCTTGAGTCCTTTACCCTTTGTCTATTTTGAGGCCAATTTCCTACCATTCCTCAAATTCTAATCACTTCCAGTACCAATAAACTTTTTTCATTCTATTTGTGATTAAAAAAAAATTTCATTTAAAATTTGAGTCAGTGAATGTAATACAGAAGTAGTCAGTAGTACTGATTTATTTTATTAACTTATTTAAAGTGTGTCATATTTAGTTTTATTGTGCCTATTATTGTTGGATGTCTTTATATTATTTTGTTTTTGTTTTGTTTTTTAAGGATGAAGAAGCTAAAATCAGGAGGGAAGAAAAACGGAAAGAACCTTTCATTCCTCCTAAGGAAGAAACCATACTCTCAAAACCTGCTGCTTCATCTGATGTCGATATTGAACAACTAAAAAAAAAAGTGAAAAAACAAAAATTGAGATAAGAATACATCTAATTTTTGATAAAAATACATTCAAATGTATAATTTTATTGCTTGAGTGTAAATTTGTAAATATATCATTTTTAATTTTGATTTTCTTTTATTTGTAAATCTCCTCACGTTGATGACAATGTTCTGTTTTAAAAAAACAAAACAAATTCCTTACATGGTTTAATATTCAACTCTCAGATTACCAGCTCTATCCTGAGTAATTTAAAATTTTTTTTAAATTTTCGAGGAAAATCTCTTTATTTCACCCTTATACCTCTACCCCATGCTTCAAATCATTTTAATTTTCTTGACAACGTTTCAGGCAATTTTGCCCATTGTCAAGTCGAAATATTATATATTCCATATAATTATATTTTTTATATAATTATTGTAACATTTTTCTCCTTGTGTTCTTCTAATTATAAAATTCATAATTTATTTATGAAAAGTCAATTCTAAAAAATCTGAGCTGTCAAAAATTTAAACATTATTTTAAATTTACATCAAATGTTACACGTTTTCGTCCTTTTAATAACAATTACAGTGGACATAAGGTTGTATTAAAACGATGAAAATGTGTAACATTTGATGTAAATTTAAAATAATGTTTAATTTTTTGACGTTTCAAGTACAAAATATTTTGACTGGAGATTGGTGAAATAAAGAGATTCTCCTCGAAATTATAAATTTTATAAAATATTTTTAATTATTTTAAATAATACAATTATTTAAATTACAAATAGAGAAAAATAACTACTACCTTCTCCCATTATTATTGTGAAAAATTATTAATCAGGTTGTATTAGCATTATTATGACGTCTCATTTTATTTAAAGCTTCAAAATTCGCAGACTAGTTCAAAATATGTACTTAAAACAAATCAGAATAGAATTATTTGAAATTTGGGCAGCTCCTCAATATGTTTATATCAAATCAAATATTTACAGTCCATTGGTCTACAAATAAGAAAAAAAAATCCATTATTATATTGTAGCTTGGCTGAAAATTGTTACCTTTCCCCCCTCCACTCCGGATCACTACCTAGATGTCAGAACTTTTGATATGTTCACGCACTCTACCCCATTCCTTGACTGGACTATTGAGGATTTTAGAGCAAATTTAACACTGAAAAAAAAAAAATTCTCATGAACATTGGTCAGAAAATGAATTTTTAAGGCCAAAAACATGGAAAATATTTTTGTTTAGTAATTGATGATGAAACAATTAATTACATAAAAATGGATTGAAATTAACACCATTTGAGAATTATATTTGTCGTTGAGCATCATTTCAATTATTGTTTAACCTTTATAAACTAATTCTGTGGTAGTTTTATTTATAATGTTTATGTTGAGACCATCTTATTCTGAATCTGATCTTTTTTTCACCTTATATTTTTATATCTATGTTTAGTGTTTGTCAATTTAACTATTCTATTCAGTGAATGTGTAGGGAAATTCCTTAATATTTAAAAAAGAAAATATTTAGTTAATATTCTTACCAAGTGAAATCAGAAGTTTCAAAGAATATTTGAGTTAATTTTTCATTCCAGAAAATTTGATTTAATTTTTTGAATAGTGCTTTTATAAAGTAATTTTTTTAAGTTAATGGATTGTAATATATACTGATTATGAGCATGTTCATAATATAAAATACTCACCTTATTTTCTCTATAGTGTTTCCTATATTTTATTAAGTATAACTAATTTGTTCTAGAATGTTAGCAATTTAATTATCACCAAAGCAACTTTAATAAAAAGTATCACTACCGTCCGCCATCTGCCTTCTTCTATTTGAAGAAGACACTCGAGACGAGATCGATTAGTTAATAATAAATCACATGGCATGATGCATGTTGAACACTCGTGCGTGAGAAAATACAAAGGGTTCTTATTCGGTTCTACGCACAGAGTAATTAAACTTGGTGCTTTCTTTTCATTATTTAAATGAAAAAGAACTTTTTCCGAGGTGGCTTTTTGACAAAAAATGACAAATTTGAGTCCCTGCATAGTCATTTTATAAATAACTTTGTAATAAATGTCTTTTTTTCTATTCCACAGCTGCAAGTGAACGCTTTTGTCCAGATTTAATGTCATCATAATTTTTTTTCCTTTAAGGACGGAACTTGGATGGACTTCTATTGCATGTGCTGCAGTCGTTTCACCAATACCCGTCCAGGAGCATTGATTTTCCTTGCATTCCCATGGAATGAAACTAAAAAAATAAAATAATATTTATTGAATAAGTAATACATAATTACAATTGGAAAATAATCTAAAACAAATTTATCTTTACTCATTCATTATCCGACAGCATTCTTAAAAATAAATGCACAAAAGTTTATAAAACATATATTTTACAGTAAAATTTGTATTTTTAGGCTGTAACTGCAAAATAAGTCTACATTCAATTTTTGCAGAGAATGCTTTAATTTCAAGAATTTTTAATTCAACAAAAACTTATCCGATCAAGGAATAAATGAAGTTGATACAAGTATTTGTATTTGTATTCAACTCCCAGCACCCTTCCTATATCTACTGTCTCCTTCAGCCTAAACCTTTAGTCCACTCAATAAAAACGAGATCCCGTGTTTCTGACCTCTATATCCTATCTCATAGGACAAAAAAATTATGAACGTTCCTTCTTAGCCGGCTCCGTTGCCTTCTGAAATCCCTTGTCGCTTAACATCCGTCATGTGTCTTCCCTGTCATCTTTCAAATACCTCCTTTTCCAATATCTCCTTACATCCCAAACAGAAGATTCGCAACCATAAATTTCATTTTATGAATTGAATTTGTGAGAAGTAAATGCGGACGCATACAATCTCCTCAGTGCAAGGAACTGGAGAGCTGCAGCAACAGACAGGGCCAACCGGCGGAGAGTTTTGGAGGCCTAGACCTGTTAACGGATTGTTGCACCAACTATGTATGTAAATGGTGGTGCCTATTGTTTAAGTTTTAACATAAAACATCAGTGATCTTTGTCACCTAGTTTGACTATTATTTTTACTATTTATTTGTTTTTATCTTCACTTTAGGTCGTGCTTTTTCTTTCTGAGTATATATGTTTATATGTACGTATTATATTTTTTATGTATTTTTATTTTATTTTTCTCTATTTTTCCATTTCAAATATAATCATACTTGAGAATATTTTTTGTTTAACTGTTAACATAGTATTTTATAGTGCTAGTTTATTAATTTTTAGCCTACTTTTTATATTTTAACATCTAAACCAATGCCTTTCTGTTATTACTTTTGTTATCTTATTATATTATTGTTTTATTTATTTATTTTTATTTATCCAGATTATACCTTTTGTCTCTCTGTGTACCAATATGAGTATGCATGTATATATATTTCTTTTCTTTTTCTATTACACTACAACTAATCCTGAGATTTTATTTTTATTTCTCTTAGTGTTTGCATATTATATTATATAAATCACTGTAGAGATTATTACATTTTGTACAATTTATTTTTTTATTAGCCTATTGTTTATAAATTGTGAAGTTATGAATATATAAATATGTAATTTCTTAGTGGTTTCAGAGTCTTCTTGGGAGAATAAAATATTGCTGAAGAAGGACGAAGACTCTCTGAAACGCTGAATAAATTGCAATCAAAGACTCATTTGATTAATTTATTCTGATCATTATGCAAAAGTATCAGTGTAAAAAAAATAATTGTTGACTTCTAGAAGAGCCCTCAGAATTAACATTTTCCATAAAAAGGTTGTACAAGTGGTTGCTTTTTTAAATTATATTAGAATAACATATCCCTGTTGGTTGTAAATGTTCAGCCCTGGTTTAAGAATAATGAAATGATTGACATTGTAGAAGAACTAAAATGGTGGTAGTTGTTGGGCAGCATATAGAAATCTGGGAATGTTGAAAACATTTGCCAGCTTCTGTCTCTAAACTCATTTTTGTTGCTATTGTCCCAATTTATATGTAAAAAGTTAAAAATACACCCAATAAAATATATCTATTTAATATATAACTCCAACATTGAAAACAAAAATCAAAAACCTTTTTTTTTGGAATCTTACCATATTATTATTTATTTTGGATTGTAATGTGTATAATAGAAAGTAACAGATAAATGAGTTTTAACTTTATTTTTTTATGAATAGTTCATTAGTAAAAATTCTGAAATTAGCTATATTAATAAATTGTTATTATTGTTTTTTAATAAATTGCTTTATTTTTCTCTATTCAGTACTGTTTTCTAGAATGATTTCATGTGACTGGCTTCATATCGAAGTTAGAAATCATTTTCATAAAGTGGAGAAAAAATCAATTTTTGTTTTATAAGCTTGAACTGTTTCTGATGATTTTATTTTAGGATTTTCAAGTTGAATCATAAACAAATAAATTTCTTGAATTGGTTAAAATTGAAGCTGTGTTACAAATTTCACTTTTTCTATGTTTTCAATATGTCCGCCTTAGATATAAAACCACTCATATGATACGATTGTAAAGCCATAATGATTTTGCACCAAAATGTAACCCTATATATTTTAAGTCTATGTGTACATGTGCACATTTAAGACTTAAATATTATGAACTAATAATGAAATTACCACCTATTCACAGTGGTAATATTGATTCAAGAATTATAGAAATATGGACCTAAAATGTATACCTTACTTTTCAAATTGTTATAATACCTGCATTTTTCTATATGACTCTTTACATGATTATAATCATTAAAAACTTGGCAGCCATAAGGTTGATTACAGCAGGGAATATCCAACAAAACATCTTCCAATTTTTGTTTTATTTTATTTACGAAGCGCTGTAGAACAAATGGGTCTCGGCATAAAGGACATTTGTTTGTGAATTGTGAGCATCGTTTGCAAACACTGTGTCCTCTAAAGCAAATTGTTAAGCTGGTAACTGTCTAAAAAAAAATATTGTTGGAATTGATTAATTCCATATTGATTCGTGATAATTTATTTAAACTTTATATCAAACTGTATTATTATAAAAATCTATCTTCTTTTTAAGCAACTCTAGTTTTTAAAAATAATAGATTCTCTTCAAAAAGTTTTTAAAGATATTTGGCAAAAAGAAAGTTCTCTTCAATATATAGCCATCT